AGGGGAGACGATCCAGGGCCTGCGAGCGAGTCTCACCTGTGCCATAGAAACCCTGTGTGACGTGGACTCCTCCGTGGCCGTGTCCTCCGGCGGGAAGCTCTTCCTGCGCTTCATCAGCCTGACTTCCCTGGAATACTCTGTAAGCCCTGCCCTCCTTGGGTTACTTTCTACTTCTGTGTCGGGCTGCAGGTATTCTCAGCTTTACCTGGATCTCAGCTTTACCCCTCATTTTGCTCTTTTCTTCCTAGGATTACTCTAAATGTAAAAAGATCATGATTGAGCGGGGAGAACTTTTTCTCAGGAGAACATCCCAATCGAGAAATAAAATTGCAGATCTGTGCCATACTTTCATCAAAGATGGGGCGGTGAGTAGATTTTCTCACGTGTAGTAATTGGGAGCAAGGACTTTGGACTTAGACTCCTTTGCCACTTACTCGCTGTGTTACCTTGGACAAGTTACTTAACCTCTCTGTGCTGCAGTTTTCTCATTTGTTAAATAAAGGTGATAACAGCACCTACCTCATCAGGTTTTTGTGGAAAGAGGTATTGAGATGATCTAAAGACTCTGTACTATGCCTGGCACATAGTAAGCACTATACAGATGTGTAGATGTTACTACGGAGGTTGTCACATTAAACAGGCCAAGAGGGCCACCTGGCTGGCTTGGTCAGAAGGGAGTGGGAATCTTGATCTCTGGGTCATGAGTTTGAGCCCCACGTTGGGTGTAGAGATTACTTAAAAACAATAAATAAACTTTAAATAAAATAAACAGGAAGAGAAAAAACCACTGGGACAGCATGGATGCTTCATGGTTTAATAAGATGTCTTTACCAAAGAAGTGTTTTCATTATCGGGTACATACTAAATTGAAATTAAATCAACACCTACCAGCTGCTGGCACTGGTTCATACTGACTGTCTTCCCAGTGAAGGTCAGCGCTGGGCTGGGATGTTGTCTTTAATTTCATTTCCAGTGCTATTTTATAGACGCAGAACTGCCAAGGGTTTCTAGGTGAAGTGAGGATGGGAGCTGCAGGTTAAGCCAGTCCCCCAGCAAAGGGGCAGTAAAACTTTTATGATGTCTCTCCCATGGCGTCCCTCTTCTGCCATCCAAGCCTTCACGGACCATAAAATTCTTTACTTGCGTTTTGACTCTGAAATCTTGTCCTCTGTGTTATTATCCCCTTCCCAACCTTTGAAGTGTGTTCTTCACGAAATGACGTAATAGATGTGAGCGGAACTTGTACAAAAGCCAGTTGCGAACAAAGCCACTTTGGGCCACATGGAGGCAAGATTATGACCGCCTCTCGATGAGGCCTTCTGCTTCCACCAGACTCCCGTGCTCAGCATTCTGCAGGTTTCACATGCTCTGGTGTATGTGAGTGTGTTAATGCCCACCTGCATCAGTGATGACTTTAGGCTGAATTCAGGGCAGAGCTGCCCACATTGGAACCTGCAGACGAACCACCTGGGATCTTACTCACTGCTGATTCTGATTCAGCAGGTCTTGGGGCGGCTGAGAATCTGCATCGCTGACAAGCTTCCAGGCGAGGCCCAGAAAGGAGCTAGGGCGCTCTGTCCATCCATTTTGCATTATACAGATCCACGTAGTCTGTTCATTAGAACAGAGCTGAAGTGAGTGTCTGCCCATTGGATCTGGCCTGCAGATGGGTTGTGTTTACCCCCAAATGGTGTTTACAAATTTAAAAAAATTAGTTAGCCAACACTTCTGTCTTGGATTTTCAAGAGAAAAACGAGATCATCTGGCAACAGTGGGACCGTGCGACAACAGCTGGAGCTCGGTCTGTCCTCTTTGCTGCAGCCTGCCGTGTGCCGCGGGCCTGAGTGTGCACACCATGTCTTAGAACTAGGAAAGCCAGCCCAAAGGAGCCGGACAGAGCCTTCACATAGGCTTTTGCATCTTGCGAGCAACACCACGTGGGGATTCCACTCCTGCATTGGCTGTGGGAAGAGGTGACCCAGAACAGATGGGCCATCAAGGATCTCACTTCTGACTGCAGCTGATTTGTGAGACAGCATAGCAAGAAGCCTGGGGGTACCGAGAACAGGCATTAGCGTAGCAGAGGGTGCGCATGATCGCTGCGAAGCTTTCCCTTCTGACGAAGCTTTCTTGGTCCACAGAAAATATTAACTCACGCCTACTCCAGAGTGGTCCTGAGAGTTTTGGAGGCAGCAGTGGTGGCCAAGAAGCGTTTCAGTGTGTACATCACAGAGT